GTTCGCCGATGAGATCATCATTGCCCCTCTTGTCGCTCGCCCCTCTCTGCATTTCGCCCCTCTTGCCGCTCGTCCCTCTTTACGCATGAGGTAACCTTCTCTCAAATTTACATCAGCGAAATAATATTATAAAATTGCAATCTTTAATACACAATCAGTTATCATCTCCTCGATATCAAAATTTATTTAAATATTCATGGTTTAAAAGTGGATATACGAATGAAAGACCAGAAACATTTAAAAATCCAGTAGAATTTAGTTTTGAACAAACATCAAGCACATGTGACATTGAAGATTGCAATGATATAGCTGTAATACAATGTTCTTGGTGCGGAAAATCATTATGTTTAAAACATTTTTTTATAGAGTATCATTATTGTAACATCTATAACGGGTGTGACTAAATTTAATATATATAGCTTTAATAACAATTTTAGTAAACTTTTCTTCCTCAAATATGTGATAACATATTGTATTTCATTTTTATATTTATTTTGCGACTATTGCACAACACAAGTGCGATATAAACGATGCGTCATGCAGCGCGACACATATAATGTGATACTTGATGACTCATTTTTGAAAGATGCGATTTTGGAACATAATAAAATCATATATGGTTGAATTCAGCGTAAAAAATGCTACAACTTTTGTCATTACAAAAATTTTGAAATTCGAAAAAATAATAACAAGGGGCGGGGGTAAATTAAAAAAAATAACATTTTTTGAAAATCCAACTACACAGTTATATAGCCCATTACAAGCCCTACAACTTCTATTTGAAACATTTTTTTATATCTCCTACGGTTTTGGCGATAGTTACACACAAAGAAAAAAACCGTTTTTTTTCAAAGGGATGTTTCACCCCTTAAATTTAAGATAGGGCCGTATAAAAAAATACGTGTCTCCTCAAATTGTATGTTTTACAACATATTTCAAGGAGAATCAAATCGGGGGGGAGACACTTGTGAACGTTCCCTTGTAAGTGAGGCCTTGCCTGATCAGTTCCTTATCGGGATCGTATTAATATTTCCACGCGAGATAGTGTACCTGGAAGTTTTATGCTACGTGTTATATTATATCAGTAGTGTAGGGTTTCAAGATAATTCTTTATATGTACTTGCTCTGCACTTCGTCCTTTGGAGGGGTTTTATAATTCTCTCGAATGCTGCTGTGCGTCAGTTCTCGTTTAGCATCCGATTTAGTTGCAATAGAGTTTGCGAATTTAATAATTGTTTTGCGGCCTGAGACCGATGGAAGAATGATGAGGCGACGAGAATTTTCTACTGCGGAACTATTAGAGGAATTGGTTCTCACATTTGTTCAAAACTCTTCAGAGCGACTTATTATACGGCGACAAAGGATGGCCCTTTGTCGTCAGCTCCTTGTGGGTTTGCACCGTGCTGTTTCGCGGCAATTTCGGCGGTTCAACGATCGTCGTCGCCGAGTTGGGCACTTGAGATGGCGACGTGCGATGTTGCTCATCTCAGAAATGACATGTGTTCTTCATCGAATGCATTGGCTTACGGAGGAGGATAGTGAGAACGAGGAGTATCCTGATTCTCCGTAACAAGGTGAGTGTGATTTAATTTTCAATAAAATATTTAATGTGGTTTGCATAAACCAGCATTGTTTTTCGCCCCTTTTTAATAATGTAGTTAACGCTTGATTTTTTCTCGATTACTACGTAAGGTCCTGTCCATAGCGCGTCGAGTTTTTTCGAGACTGTCTTAGCTGTCGCTTTAATTGCTTTCTTTTCTTCGTCGTCGTTCTTAGTTCCGCGATGCTTATTAGTTTTGGTTATGGTATTGCGCGTGTTTGACTCTTCATTTATCTTCTTATTTTTAGTATATTCTGGTTTTCCGTTTAATATCCAACATTTGGTACGGTTATGCCCGGATTTTTTGCAATAATTACAGTATTTATCGAGATGCATTGAATCTTGATCCACTCGGTTTAGGCAAAGTGAATTGATTACCGTAACGGCTTGTTCGGCAATCGCGACCGTAATGTCCTTGCTTGCCGCATTTATGGCATTGAATTGCTTTAGAATTGTTAAAATGTTTATTCGCGTTGTACGCGGAATCACATGGTCTTTTTAATTTTTCTTTCGCTTTAGCCTCTTCGTTGGCTTTCTGCAGAATTGCAAATCGTTGTGCGCGGATTACTATTCGTATATCCTCGCGTAGTCAGTACACAAAATTTTGTAGCGCCAACCGTATCTAGTATAGTGCGTTTATCTTGCGATGTCTTTCCTGGACTGTCTGTTAGAGATTCGTATAGTTGCATTGCTAGATCGTCTGCACGTGCTCCATATTCTACCGCACTTTCTCCTGGTCGTTGTTTTAGATGGGTAAACTCAATTTGAATCGATGTAGGATTTCTTTTAGGGTAGTAAAAGTTTTCCAGTTCGTCTTTTAGTTGTTCAAACGTTCTGATATCTTTAATCTCGAAATGCATTAATGCTTTGCCTTGCAGTTTAGTCGACATTATGACGTCAAATAGTTGGTTTTCGAACTCGGGTTTTACATATTTTATCACGCATGTACAAGCACTTAAAAATGATTTCAAGTTCGTCCATGACGTACCATCAAAAATAGGTATTAAATTTATCGCGTTTCTTGATGTCATGTATCGTTGGGCGTCAGTGAACTGTCTATTTCGTATGTCTTCAGTAGTTCGACCGTATGAGATTTCGGCCTCGCGTTCTTGTCGCGGATTCTGTTCGTGATGATGCGCATGAAGATACTCAAATAACGTCGCGATCCGTTCGCGCATTTCTTGTAATGCTTCTTCTATTGCTGAATTCTGAGTAGTTTTACTTTTTGGGCGTGTTCCCGTTCAAAGTCCGCCGTCTTCGTCTTCTTTTGCATTTTGCTCCATTAAGGCGGATATTTCGTTTTCTATTGCGATGTCTGCCTTGCTCTTTCTCCTTGAGACATTTTTTCGGTATTTCTTTCACGGATTTCGTCCGGATCAAATATGTTACTGTTGTACGATGTTAGTTCAAACTCGCTGTAATCTGACACGCGGCTTGGTGTTCTGCTGATGTACGGTCTACCTTTTTAGGTTTTACCTCTATTACGGTATCGTTAAGAACGGGAATTAAACTTGAATCGATATCTCCGAAAGTGTAATCACGTTTATTCTCTACGTTTGAATGTATTTCGTCGTCGTTATCGCTATCCGAGTTTATATATTGTAGAGTACGGCGTACGTTATCACTTACGTCACGAGTCGCTTCTTCCATAACGCGTATCGGGTTTAACGCTGTGCGGATCGCGTGTCGCGCTTGGTCGCTTAATAGCCACGACTTATTTTGTATAGGACCGAGGTCGCTTTCGCTTTTGAACAATCACGCGTTTTTATATATAACGATTTGGACTTACAGTAGTAGTAGTATAATCGCTCGCATGTTGCCTCGTCCTTAGCTGCGATTCGCTGTCCGGCTGTAGATCGTAGGCTGTAGAGGTAGGTCGCTTGGCTGCTTTCTGCTGACTCCTATTTTGCTGACTCCGCTTGGCACTGCTTGGCTCTGGATAGTCTGCTGCTGTGCTGCTACTCTGCTTGGCTTCGGCTGCTTACTGTTGCGTTAGTCGGGGTCTTCTCGTTTCAATAATCTCCGTATTGAAACTTGTCCGCCAACTAATTTTTTACTCACTTTTTCGGCTGCTTACTGTTGCGTTGGTCGGGGTCTTCTCGCTTCAATAATCTCCGTATTGAAACTTGTCCACTGACTATTTTTCACTCACTTAAATTTTTCTTTTTGTTTCAGGTTCTGGACGTTCCGCGTTCCTGGTCCCGAAGGAGAGACAGATCCCACAGCTGCCACCAGGTTTGTTGTGCCCTTTTTTAAGGGCACGGGTTCGAGATTTGCCGAGAAGTTGGATTAGGCCAAAAATCCGGAAATTATAAAACTGTTTTTATTTTTCAATAAAAAACAGGTGTCCTTTTATTACTTGGTTTCTTGATTTTCTTTTTAAGTTACCATTTTTTACAATTTACTAAGTTCCGTTTCAGGAATCTTTATCTTAGCTTAGTTATCACGGAGCCTCAAGTTACTCTTATTTGTTAGTTACGATTCGCGATCTTCTTGAAACGTGTCCCGACGGACATACGTCCGTCCCGTTTGGTTGTTAATTTTCGACCCGTCTTCGTGGTCTCACGACGGCGATTTTATAATCGTGAAACTGCAATTGATTGCAGTTTTGAAGATCTTTTGATCGAACGTGCTGACGGATTCTTGGTAGTTTGTCAGCGTTCTTGTGTTAGAACGAATTAGATTTCGATTTACGCTGCACGATTCTCCGGTGTCTCGTACGAGCCGGAAATGCACTGAATCGTCAGCGTTTTTATATGATATTATACAATATATATTTTTATACTATTTTATTAATTAAAAATTGGTTGTGGTTTTCTAAACCCACAACAGAATAAAGTGAAAAAGGTCAAGTCAATTTTTTGTTAATTTGAAAATACTTTGCATTTTGTTACAGCTTGCAAATTTACGTCCAATCGCACTTTGAGCAAAACAATGTATTTGTCAACAACGCAGGATTGGAAGTTTCTCAAGAGAAGCTAACATTCCTGACATACACGAGAGATTATAATATATTAGGTACCGCGGAAAGTTCATGTCGTTTTTTCCGATGAACGACATCTCTTAGAAAAACGACACGAACTTTCCGCGGTACCTAATACATTTAACTTCATAAAAATATAATTAACTGCAAATAGCTGAATAAGATAGCTGAACTTCCCAATAAACATTAGGACATTCTATGCACGTCCTATGTATATACATATTTGTATCTTGTATATTCTATGTATATACAAAGAATGTGAAAAGTATATAAAGCGCATATCCTATGTATGGAAATGTATTACCACATGTATGTACATAGGATGTCCATAGTACATATATAGGTATATTCCAAAGATGCAGTGTACATTTTTGGTATATACATGGGGTATATTCCGAGGATGTGCAGTGCACGTTCGCAGTATGTACATAGGATACATTCCGAGGATGTGCAATACACATTCGTGGCATGTACATGAGGTACATTCTATGTATGTACATAGTATATACAGTACGTTTTTTAATAATAAACAATTTTCATTTATTCGGATATTTATCTACCCAATTTTTGAACAATTAGTTTATCTAAATTCCCTGTGTTGGGATTCAGATATTAAACTGATAGAAAAAGTTATTACATCTTCAAATTGAAGACTTCAATATTATTACCCGCCTTTTGCAAGTTTTATATATATAGTTTTCATGATTAAAACTTAAATACGAGATAGATAGCGCATAATGCGTCACATAGCGGAAAGCGAACGAACTAATAACTGATTCTATGTATATCCATAAATGTACCTACATCAGCGTATCCATAAATGTACCTACATCAACGTATATCGTATGTATGTACGTTACATGTATTATATACACATGGAATGTACACGAGGTATATTCTATGTATGTACAGGCAGCGATCTCGTTCAAATATACATTCTATGTATATCCATAAATGTACCTACATCAGCGTATATCGTATATACCCATACAGCACAAAACATTCTCAGGATATCCTCAGGACATCGAGGATATTTCGGTGTCCCAAAGATGTTCTGAAGACATCAAGATGTCCTAAGGATATGTAGGATATTTTGTGCTGTATGGGTATGTATGTTACATGCAGGGTTGAGAAGTAACGCGTTACTTGTAACGCGGTTACCGTTACAATTACTTTTTTTCGGTAACTGTAACAGTAACGGCGTTACAAATTTTTTTGTAACGAAAAAAGTAACTTTGTTACATTTTTCGGTAACGAGTAACGAATTTAAGTTATTTTTATTGTTACATTTTTTAAATTTACTCTATATATCTACGAATTTATAGAAAAACTAACAATAAGAAAACTTTTTAATTTATATTTACATCTAAAAATTTTTAAGAAAGCTGGTTTACAACTTATTAAAAATTTTTCTTATTTAAAATATCTTATTATCAAAATTATTACTTTTATTATATATTATTAAAATTATTACACTTTATATTAATAGCGATATTATTTTTCATCGTGTTAGCATGTTTCTTAAATTTACCGTTAATTTATTTGTTGGATCTTTCTGTACTGTGTTGTATGTGTTTTTATCCTCTAATATTTTTTCCATATCTGCTATATATTTAGATTTGTCCATTGCCACCGTGGTGTTCCCCTTGTCCGCTCTTGTAAATATTATATTAGGGTGTTTTTCGATAAATTCTTGTGTTTGTTTTTTATATTTAATAATTAACTTTTTATTGTGATTTATTTTTGTGTTATTGTTTCACATATTATTTATTGTTTCTATGGTCTCATTTCTCACCACACTCTGCAATTCTTCGTCTTCTCTTTCTATATTTCTTTCTATATTTTTGATGAGTTCAATGGTATTTCGTTTTTTATCGTAATTAGGAAGATTGAACCGTTCTCCTAATTGTAATAAATATTGTACTTCTGTAGGTATTTGTGTTTCTGTCAGATTTATAAACCATTTATCTTGTACTTTGTGTAAATTTTTGCTATTATCTATGTTGAAGTTCATAGGTGATATGATTTGTTCTACGTTATTACCATTGTTCTTATTATTAATTATTATAGGTTTTATGTTTAACTTTATTGCAGAATGCCGTTGTGAAATGAGCCATTTTAATTTTTTATCGTGTTGTTCATTTATGCATTTCCAAATTTTTTGCCTTCTTTTTTCTTGGAAATACATAAATTGATTTATAATATTTGTTGGTAATCTGTTGTATAAAGCTCTGAGTATTTTGCAAATTTCTTTTTTGTATTTTTCTAATTTTAAATAATTATCTTTTATTTCTAATCTTAATATTCTTGTCTTTAATGTTTGGACTAATTTTTTTAATGCATTTTGGTGTCTGTTATAAGTAATTAAAATGTAACGTGTTAACGTGTAAATTATAGCGCTGAAGAAGGCCCAAAAAAAGGTGCCGAAACGTTCGAATGACAATTATATGTAAGATATATTAATAAATAGCACTTAGAACAGGCTAAGGCTCAAAAATAAGCGTGTATTATTATTTTAATATTTAAAAATTTTTAATGTTTACTGTAAATTTGAATTATTTAATTTAATCTTGTATTAGAAAAATTGTGCATAAAATTTGTATTATATATAAAAAAAAGTAACGGAAATTGTAACGATTCGTTACTTTTTGAGTAACGACAATGACGACGGCAACGAGTTCCTTTTTAAAATTGGTAACGAGTAACGATAACGAATTAGTTTTTAGAAAAAAGAACGATAACGGTAACGAGTTACTTTTACAAAGTAACTTTCCCAACCTTGATTACATGTATATACATGGAATGTACACGGGGTATATTCTATGTATATACAGGCAGCGATCTCGTTCGAATATACATTATATGTATATCCATACGATATCTTACGTATTTATATCCATACATGTATCTACCTCAGCGTATGTATATCATATGTATGTACATAGTATATACAGTACATTTTTTTCACATTATGTATATTTTATGTATATACATAGGATATCGAATGTTTACTGGGCTGCCACAAGAAACACTAAATAAACTTAGTCGCCAGAATGCCACGACTTGTAAATGCGGTTTTGAAAGCTAAGGGTTTTTCGACGTTTAAGTATTTATGTTTGAAAAAGTGTAAGATTTATGTTAAACTGTAATATTTT